TATTCATATTGCCTGCCTGCCACATCCTGAGATTGCTTCAGACACAGAGGCCTATGTCATATTCAGTTTTGTGTTGTCTTGCTTTGCATAATGAAGGGGGGGGGGGCACATGTGCACATAAAGAAGCCTCTTATGGAACTCTGGCAGTACAATGTAGTCAGTTCCTATATCAGTGGTGCATGGTTGGAATCCCAAAGTGGGGGTACAACTTTCTTACAGATGGACTTCAGGGCCAGGAAGGGAACTGGGAGAGGAGGTGCAATAGCAAATTTGGGTTTGCTTCTACATGATGTGCAAACTGACCATACAGTACAGCTTGTTGCTCTGTAATGGTATCTATATATCTAATAGCCAATGTGCCCCCCCCCCCGTGCGGATACTTATTTCTGCCAACAGAGGGCTCACTCTCCCCCAACAGCTTTTCCTACATAGTCATGGGCCTTCCTAAGGTTGCAGAAAAATCCAAAAAGTAAAAAAATCCCTTCAGGGAGGGTTGAATTTCCCCCAATACCATTTGAAATGGCCTCTGCAGGGATCTAACTCCAGACATCAACGGCGAGAGATTAGAACGTTTTTTTGGGGGGGAGGCTTCTAACTGTTTCTGTCAGTAAAAGGAGGGGGGGCGGAAGGACCCCTTTCTAGTTCTATTTTGGTCTTTCAGGGAGGGAGCCAGTGCCAGGCTGGGGAATTCCTAGAGGTTTTGAAGTGGGCTGTGAGGAGGGCTGGGTTTGGGGAAGGGAGAGGCCTCAGCTGGGTATAATACCACAGATTCCACTCTCCAAAGCAGCCATTTTCTCCAGGGAGACCGACCTCGGCTGTCTAGAGTCCAGTTATAATTCTGGGGCATCTCCAGGTCCCACTTGGAGGTTGGCAACCCTAGGCCTGGCAGTAGTCTAAGGTTGCCAGGTCCCCCCTGATTTGCATGACTCAACTAGCCCTGGCTGCTTGCTACTGTTCATCAGCAGCCACCCTATGAAAGCCAGTGAGGTGCAGCAGTTAGAGCTTCAAAGTAGGGTCTGCAAGACCCAGATTCAGATCCCTATTTTGCAGTGGCAGCTGACTGGGTGATTTTGGACCAGTCACTTACTTTTAGCCTATCCAACCTCACAGGGTTGTTGTGCAGATAAAAAGGAGGCGAGAATAATGTAAGCTGCTTTGGTCCCCACTGTGGAGAAAGACTGTAATTTTCCTAGGTAGAGGCTGTAGGGAAGATGGACAGCTGAAGACAGAGAGGCAGATAAAGGTAGGTTGGCTGTTGGGTGGAAAGGAAATTGTGTTGCCAACTCCAGGCTGGGAAATTCCTGGACATTTGAGGGGTGGATCCTGGGGAGGGTGGGATTTGAGGAGGGGAGGAACTTTGGACTGGTGTAATGTCATAGACTGCACCTTCCAGCCATTTCCTCCACAAGAACCACCATTGCCAGCCTCCAGGCAAGGGCTAGAGATCACCCAGAATTACAACTGTTGTCCAGGTGACAGAGATCAGTTTCCCTGGATATAATGGCTGCTTTGGAGGGTTGAGTCTGTGGCATTCTACCCTGCTGAGGCCGCTTGGCTCCCGAAGCCTCACTGTCCCCAGGCTCCACCCCCAAATCTCCAGGAATTTCCCAATCTGGAGCTGGCAGCCCTAAGGTGAATTGATCGCTGTTGCTGGGAGACCTGTTGTGATTCCCAGAGCGCTGCCTCTGCTGCGGGGGCAGGTGGGGGGGAGGAAGCAGGCAGGAGGCTGGGAAAGTGATGGGGGCAGAAAGAGAGAGTGATAGAGTGGGGGGGCAGAAGGAAAGAAAAAGAGTGATGAGGTGGGGAGGCAGAAAAACAACGGGTCAGAAAGAGAGAGGAAGTAACATACATGGAGGGGAGAGAGAAAGTTTAAGAAAGGAAGGGCAGAAGGGAGAAAGAGAGTGAGAGAGGTAGGGGGAGAGGGGAGGAAGCAAAGGCGTGAAGAATGGGATAAGCATCCTGCAAGTTTCTTGCAGGGCTCCACTTGTATATTTATAAATGCTAAAAATGGGTGAGGGGATGCGCACAGCTTTCTACTGAGTCAGACCCTTGGTCTATCAAAGTCAGCATTGTCTGCTTAGACTGGCAGTGGCTGTCCTTGGACAGAGGTCTTTCATGTTGCCTCCAACCTGATCCTTTTAGTTGGAGATGCTGGCAATTGAACCTGGGATCTTCTGCTTGGTAACCAGATGCTCTGCCACTGAGCCATTGCCCCTTCCTAGCTGCCTTCCTCAGAGCCAGACCATTGGTCAGTTTTGTCTGCTCTGACACAGAATAATAGAATCATAGAATCACAAAGTTGGAAGGGGCCATACAGTCCATACAGGCTCCTCCTATTCAATACAGGATCAGCCTAGAGCATCTCTGACAAGTGATTGTCCAGCTGCTGCTTAAAGACTGCTAGTAAAGGGGAGCTCACCACCTCCCTAGGCAGCTGATTCCACTGTTGAACAAGTCTTACTGTAAAAAGGTTTTCCTAGTATCCAGCCAGTACCTTCCCGCCCTTAATTTAAACTCATAATTGCTTGGTGACAGGCATCCAAGGTCTCAGCAGAGATCTTCTGCACCACCTACTACTGAATCCTTTTAGCACTGGAGATGCCAGGGATTGAACCTGGGACCTTCTGCATGCCAAGCAGATGCTCTACCATGACCTTTCCCCAAGAGACTTGATCATTGCTGAAGTGAAAGGAACTGCTAGATTCAAGTATAGTAGCACCTTAAAGACCAACCAGAGTTTCAGGGTACAAGCGTTCAAGAGTCAAAGCTCCCTTTGTCAGATACAAATAGGAATGGAGATCCTGGAGTCCTTATATCCCAGTCTGAAGGTCAGAGGGTGTTGCAAAGAAAGGAGTCAGGATGCAGAGTTAATGGGGCATAAGGACTCAGGGATCTCCATGCCTACTAGAATCTGACAAAGGAACCTTTGACTGTTTGAATGCTCATACTCCCAAAATCTTATTGGTCTCTAAGGTGTTATTGGACTCGAATCTAGCTGCTTTACTGCAGACCAATATGGCTGCTTTCTAAAACTATGATATGAAAAGGATATGCAGGAGGGAGAAAGTAGTCTGGAGTTCCTTTGAAGTGGGCCCTGAAAATGAGAGTACATTTAAAGGGTGTGCGTGTCCATTTCATAAAGTATGAGTCACTGCCCTAGACGTTTTCCGAATTGCTGAGATACCTGCCAGTGTAACCTATCCAAGAAGAGGTTGCCCACTGTGTCTCTGCATGAGTCAGTTTGGACTGGCCTCCTTGAAGTCAGCCTCCACTAGGAGCAGATGTTCCCACTGCATCCTTAGATCATGTCACACTCCTCAGGTAAACAAGCAGAAGAACTACATGCCTTCAGAAGCTTCCTGTTGTGTCTCTGCATGAATTGTGTGTGTATTAACTAGCCACTTTCTAGTCAGGGCTCATTACCAGAACAATGATGGATGTAAAAACGCTGGGTTGGGCTCCACATAGAGTAATTCTCATTCTTGGGCCCAGCGATCCTTTAAACAGTGCAGAATGCAAAGGTTGAAAAGGGAGGGAAAGAAGATGCTGTTGCTCTGGTGGAGGACATGTGAAAATCACTCTAGATTCCGTTCTGAAGGGAGCTTATAGAAGCCCAGGCAGACCAGTGATCTGTGCCTTTTTTCGAGCACAGGGTAGGAGGGTGCTTGTGTGATCCCTTTTTCCAAAGGACCCAGAGAGGATTAAGAGGGAGATCTGTCCCTGTCTGTATTGTCTCTGCTCAGAGTTCAGAGACCTCCTCAGGGCAAGAGTGGTCAGGCTGGGCATCCATCATTCCTGAGGAAGGCCCTCTCATCGGTGAAATTGATCCATCTTCAGGCATCCCTGCGGAAGTAATCAGAGCTGATGGCCATTGATCATGACCGGCCCCTGAAACCCTGCTTAGACAGACAGAGAGCTAATTCATTTCAGGCCCTCCTGCTGCTGGCTGGATGAGGCCATCCATCCACAGTGTATTAACCTAGTTGCCAATGTCGCTTCTTGTCCTCCTTCTGTTGGTCTTCAGTACTTCTGAAAAGAGTCTGGTATTGTGGTCCTGAGGAAAATCAGGCTGTTAATGTATGTGTGTGTATGTTTTTAAAAAGAAACATGTTTCTAGCTCTTATGATTCTAGAGGCCAGTGTTTGGAAACATCCAGCCAAAGGAGCATATTAGGTTTGTCCTATGATCCACTACGCCAAGGAATGCTTGATAGATGGTGTAAGAATCTCAGGCGGCCTCCATGTGGAGGTTTTTATCCTTCTTGGCTTTTAAAACGCAGTGGGGTTTTAAAGGAGGATCTGTAAAATGCTGTCCTCTAATATAGAGGTTTTCCTCATCTTTGGTACGTGCCTTCTTAAAAAGGGTTGGTACAACATTTTTGCATTAACAAACCATCTGGATGGGAAGGTACACATTGTCAAGGGTTCCACCATCATTTTCCTTGCCTCCGCCTCCCACGAATTTCCCCTGCTGTGCTGCTGGACACCTTTTTTCCTGCTTTTAAAAAAATTGGTAATGGAAATGTTGTTGTAACAGTCTATTGACACGTTCTACTGGTTCCTCTGAATTCACAATTTTCATTTCTAAAAAATGTAAGTATCTAGCCCTTTTCATTGCAAAGGTATACCTTTCTCCTGGTATCTCCGTAGTGAAAAAGTTTTCCCATCTTAAAAAAAAAAAGAGAGAGAGGCATTAGTAGACCATGACCATAGATTGTTACCATATCATAGAAATTTTTGCTTTACTAATGGTGATTTAACTTCTGTTTCCTTCAGTATCTCCCCAAAGCACCTACATTTGGGGATCTGGTAATATGCAGATTAAAAAAAATAAAATTTGAAAGACAGGTGACTGTTGACTAGCCAACAGCCCTATTTCTTAATGTCGTTTGGAGAGCAGGGACTGCACTCCCGCCAATTATGTGTACCATCAGGCTATCTAGGATTGTAGTAGACCAGGGATTCCCTTCCTCATGAGTTTTTTTCCCCCCATTTTCACAGGAGAAGCTGTTCACCTCGCCCGAGATTTCGGATATGTGTGTGAAACAGAATTCCCAGCCAAGGCCGCAGCAGAGTACCTCTGCCGTCAGCACTCAGATCCTAGTGAACTCCATGCCCGGAAGAACATGCTATTAGCAACCAAGTAAGCCTGGGGGTCCACAATGTAATTATTGCCCTTTTGTTCAAAAAATGGGAGTCCCTGTCAAAGGACAGTGGAAATGACATGTTGCACAATCAGGCAAAATTTCAGAAGTCACCTTTAATGTTTCTGCACATGCAAGTGTTAAGCCTTAGTGATGAATTTTAAAGTAATCGTGCTAAGGATCCAAAGTTTTATACTAAGAAATACCACAACTGGGGATGCCGGGATGGGGGGAGGCAACTGAGGAGAATTTGCTTGATGATTTCCCTCAACATTTGTTTCCAATCTAATATAAAAATATGGCAGTCACCTACGCTTGGATCCTGTACTGCTGTTCTACTCATGGAAGAATGGCGTGTCCTCTACTTCTTTGGTGAAAGTTCAGTAGTGGGCTTGGGAGAGCTCCTCTTCTTTGAAGGCATTGTTTTATTCTGATGCTACACTGTAATTTAGAGATATCTTGTAGCTTTCCAGGAGGACTTTTGAGTAAACCACAGAGGCCTGTACACGTCTGCAAGCAATATTCCCAAGCACTGCCTCTATTCCACTGACAGGAAAACTAAAGGGCCCTGAGAACAGAGAAATTGGCTATCCTTGGCAAAGCCGAATACATTGTCTTTTTTTTTATGTTAGTTCCATTTGTAACTTCCAGTGATTTACTGAAAAAAATTGGCTGCTAGTTTGCATCTCAGTCCAATTTGAAGTGCTGGTGGATATCTACAAAACCCTAAGTGATCTGGGACTGGGGTATAGAGAGGACCAGCTCTCCCCCACACAAACTGGCATAGTAGGGGGCATGGCATCGGCGGCGGTTATGGCGGACACGTAAGAGTCGAGCGCCACACCCAACTCCCCCCGACCAGCTCTATATTCGAAGGCAAGTAAAGGTTAATACCCCAGAGTATGGGCAAAACTGGTGGATCTAAAGTGAAACCACATTCTGTGGAAGTTAAGCCCCTAACTGCTTACTTTAGCACAGGAGATGCCTTTTAAAAATCTCCTCAGGCGATGACTCAAATTAACAAAATGGCGGCTGGCTCCGATCCTGAGGTACTCTCAAGGGAAGCCCTGACAAAATTGGACTTAAAAGCCAGTCTAAAGGAACTCAGAGACGATATTTTAGAAAATCTTAATGAGATCCTGAAACCCCTGGCTGATCAGAGGCTATGCACAAGACTATGCAGGACGTGGTGCAAACAGCGGAAACGGCTCTTGAAACAGGCATAGCCAATCAAAACAATATCCAAGCACTTCAGAAACATGAGAAATGGGCCAAGGAATGTATATTTCTTTTGGAAAACAGATTGTGAGATCGGAATGTGAAGCTGAGAGGCATCCCGGAGCAAGCAGAAGGCTCTGTTGAATTACCCATATTTGTTGCTTCGTGGTTGGTTAAAGCCCTCCAGCTGGAGGAAGGCGTTGCACCTCACATCATATCTGCATTCAGAGTCGGCTCACTTCAGAACAACAGGGTGAGAGGCCCCTAGAGACATTATAATTCAGCTTACAGACCTTTGTGTAAAACAAAAGCTGCTGCAGGCATCCAGAGAGCATGGTGGTCTCCGATATAATGATTTCATCATTCAGGTCTTCCCAGACCTACCTGCAGAAGTTCTTCAAATGCGAAGATCCCTCAAACCGATTACATCCAAAGTGTATGAAAATGGCATTAAATTCCGATGGACTCCTTCGGGGTCAATTCAAGTTCTCCATCCTAACACCATCTTCTCAGCAGAAGACCTGGATAGTGGGTACTCACTGTTTCAGTCTTTAAATGTGGAAGTGGAAATTCCCATGGAATACCCTAAGAAATCCTATAAACCGAAGCTTGACTCAATTTCTACCCTGAAGAACAGCAAAATACCTGTGCGCTATGTTAAATAAGCTGTCTTCAATACCAGTTGCAGAAAGTTTTTTCCCCCTTTTTTGGCTTGTCTACTTAAGTTAACATATTACGTTGGATTGTGGGTATGGTCAAGGGGAGGGGCGACTTGGCTTTTTGGCTCCCTTGCAATAGGTGAACGAGAAGTTAGGATGGTTATGGCTCTTTCCCAAAGTTGTCGGGGACCTCAGGTTTTGCCGGGTAGGATCGCCCAGGCAGGGTTCACTCTGTTGGGGTTACTGCCTGTTTGTTTTTTGTCTAGGGCAATTGAAGCATCAGATGTTGGCAAGGGGGATGGGGATAGGGGGGTGGGAGGCGGGATTGTTAAATTTGGTTTACAGTATATGTTATTGTTTACTATAAAAATCGGAGGGCGAGTGGATGGGCAGGGGACCAGTAAGTATGTTTATGTGTTTGTTGGTTTAGGAAATGTTTTAGGAGCCCATTTTACAAGGCAAGGTTATGTGTTTTTCGATGTTTGTATTTTTAACTCTGTTTTTGCACTGTTAGCTAAAGGAACTGCATATCTAATTCATGCACCTACGTTTGTATGTAAGGAGTTGGATCAACTACAATTGACCCGATGGTTAAGTTATGTAAAGCTTTTTATAGTTACTCAGGACGTGTGGTTCATGTTAGAAAGTTTACTAGTGTACATAAACTTTTAATTTGGTCCGGTTTGGCCCTCTCATTATTTTTCAGGTATTGCATTTACTATAGGGGTTTTTTTTTTAGAAAATTGACATTTTCATATGAGTCATTGGTACTCTCAACTGATAAGATAGGTTTGGTTAAATTCCAGTTATGGTTATTTGATTTGTTGCACTGTGGGGGACTATCTGTCTATATATAGTAGATTTTGTACCTTTATGGCTTATGAACTAAAAATTTTAACTCTAAATTGCCAGGGAATTAATAACATCATTAAAGCTAAGAGGATACATAACTACCTTATGAAAATAAATGCTGATGTTGTCTTTCTTCAGGAGACACATTTAAGGAATGATATTAACTACTTGCTAAAGTCTCCTTGGTTCCCTGCCAGGTTTAGTGCCCCTGGAACATCCCATGCTAGAGGGGTAGCCATTTTAATTTCTAAAAATGTGAGGTTTGATTGTCAAAAAGTTAAACAAGATCTCAGAGGAAGATTTCTTTTTCTAAGGGGCACGCTTAATGGTTCACAGGTGACTCTTGCTACGATCTATGCTCCAAATTCTGGCCAATTGCAATTCATCAGAGCAGCACTGAAGGATTTGAGAGATTTCCAGGATGGATCGATTATCCTTGGCACTGATTTTAACTATTTAATGGACACCAATTTCGATAGATCCTTTCTAAGCAAATCTCTTAGGTTAAAACAAACTAAAAATCAGTCCTCGTAAACTGGTCTCCAAAAGATTACGCAAGAGTTTGGCTTAGTGGATGCTTGGAGAACCCTCCATCCTGGTGAATGTGACTAGACTTATTTTTCATTTAGGCATCAGGTCCACACCAGAATCAATAACATTTTTATTTCTTCTTCAATACTTAGCAGACTTCAATCAGCAGAGATAGAAATAAAATGCTTTCCTGATCATGCCCCAGTTACTTGCAATCTCAAAGACCCTGATCCCAGCAACAAAGGCTTTACATGGAGACTCAATAATATTTTACTGAATGATACAAACTTCATACAAGAAATTCAGGAATTCTTTAAATTTAATTGGATTTGTGAGGTCCCTTTGACTACAGTCTGGGATGCATTCAAAGCCACGCTGAGGGGCAAGACTATCTCTCAGCTGCCTACAAAAAGGAGAAAAATAAACTGAAACAAGCCCTGTTTAGCAAAATTACCTACCTAGAAGAGTTGCATAAAAAGACATGCAGCAATAAAATCTATAAATCACTTTTAGAAGAACGTAAGAAACTTGAATTATTAGAAACAGATAAGATAAGACAGGGCCTCCTTTATATCAAGCAAGGGTATTGGTATAAAAGTCCAAGATCTTCCTGTCTTTTAGCATGGAAAGTGCAGAAAAAGGACTCCAATTTTGGAATTAAGTGTATAAGAAATTTGGAGGGTAAACTGTATACTTCTACGAGGGCTATCATGCAACTATTTGAAAAATATTATTCAGATCTTTATAAATCTACAGAGCCCCCTCTAGATTCTATTCAGAAATTTCTAAATTCCAATTTATCTCTTAAAACACTGTCAGCATCCCACAAAAACATATTAGAGCAGCCTATAGATGAGAAAGAATTAGAGCAGGCAATTAAATCACTTTAAAATAACAAGCTTTAGATACAAATTTAATCACAGAAACTTGGAAAATGGCTAAGATTATTCTATTTTTAAAGAAAGACAAAGACCCTCTGGGCATGAAATCTTACTGTCCTATCTCTTTACTCAACAATGGTCCTGGTCACACAGGCTGGAAAATGCGGGAGGGAAGCGTGGCTGTTTGCCCCGGAGCAAAGTAACGCGCGGCAGCCCGATCACATGTCCCGTGGAGGTCCCGTGGGTATGCTGTTAGGTGCTGATCACATGGCTATCCTGCAGCGTGACAAAGAAGTGGCGTGATCACACTGGCAATCGCTAGGCGCCACTTCCGTGGCAAACAGGAATTTTTCCCCTTCACCACAGTGTGCGCATGTGCTGGTGGGCGTTTGTGCGCATCCTGTGGAGACTTAAAATAACAACAACATCTGGTTTGTGACGGGACATGGGCGTGCCCCGGATGCCACAGTATTCCAGCGGAAACGCGATCAGACGCCTGCCCTTGCCCCGCGTTTTCTGGAAACTAGCACATCATATGTACTAGTTTTTTACTCCATATCTTCGGCAAGAAGCCACGGGTTAGCTACGGGTGCACTACGCTTCCCAGATGTTGCGGTGTGATCGTGCCCGGAAAATCCGCCTATCATCCATATCTTTAGCGCGGCAAATGCTCCGTGTGAACGGGGCCAATGATTATAAATTATTTACTACAATACTTACAATGCGTTTGAACAGAATAACTGGAGATTATATCTCTGTTGAACAAACTGGCTTCATCCCTCTAAGAGATATTACGGACAATACCAGAAAACTGCTTAATATTATACAACATTGCAAATCTTCCCATGCTCAAAATTTTTGCATTTTATCCTTAGGTGTTCAAAGGGTCTTTGATACAGTTGAGCCTAGTTATATTCAATCTTTATTATTTGCCATGAACTTCGGAGACAGATTCAGAAACATTATACAGTCACTCTGTTCCAAGCCCTCTGCCATTCTCAAGATTAATGGCTCGAATTCACAATTTATAAATATGGCAGGTGGGACTCGGCAGGGGTGCCCCCTATCTCCGCTTCTGTATGCTTTAGCCGCAGAACCTCTTGCGAACTCGGAGATGACTTATACAGGTATAGTAATTAACGGTAGACACCATAAACTAAATATGTTTGCTGATGATATGGTTTTATATGTAACTGATCCCAAGCAATCTCTCCCCCATCATCAACTCTCGTTTAGCAAATTTTAGTTTTGTAGCTGGCCTTCACATGAACCAATCTAATTCAGTACTCTATCCGATTAACCTATCCTCGGAGCTTGTAATCTTTCTTAAACATTATCAATTCAATTGGATCACATTTACTTGGAAGTATTTGGGTCTCCAGGTGCCACTGAATCTTAAAGACTTGCTAAAAGTGAACCATATAGAGGCAATGAGAATTCTTAAGGAGTTAATGCCTTGTTGTAACAAACATTATCTTTAGTGGAGAGAGTTAATTTGGTTAAATCTACAATACTACCAAAGATTCTCTATTATTTTAGAGCTATACCAATTTATATCTCGCTAGACTTGCTTAACAAGTGGCAAAAAGAACTTAACAAATTTATCTGGTAGTACAAGAAGCCCAGGCTTCAATTTGATGCTATACATAGGAAATCTTGTGATGGTGGGCTAGGTAAAGGTAAAGGTTCCCTTGCTCGAAAGCCAGTCGAATCCGACTCTAGGGTTGCGGTGCTCATCTCCGTTTCAAAGCCGAAGAGCCAGCGTTGTCTGAAGACGTTTCCGTGGTCATGTGGTCGGCATGACTAAACACCAAGGCGCACGGAACACTGTTACCTTCCCACCGAAGTGGTACCTATTTATCTACTTGCAATTTCTTGCTTTCGAACTGCTAGGTTGGCAGGAGATGGTGGGCTAGCTGTGCCTAATTTAAGATTATACTATGAGGCTGTTATATTGACTAACATAGTGAAACAGTACAGACCTACTTAGTGGCAGAATGGAAATCTTTAGAAGAAAACCATATCTTTCCGAACTCCTTTCAGACCCTGTTATGGTCAAACAAAAGTTTACATCATAAATATGGATGTCACCTCTTCCTAGAGGCAACTAAAAAAGTGTGGGACAGAAACCGGGAAAAGCTAGCACCATCTACATCGGCACTAACACCTTTCATAGGCCAGGATTGGTTTGCTCCTGGAAAGCCTGCAGGTGCATTCAAATCTTGGACAGAGGCAAATCTTACACGCTTCATAGACATACTGTCTAGCGGAGAAATCTTTTCTAAACTCAATTTAGAACAAGACCATAACATTAAAATACCATGTTATGAATATTTACAAGTGGCTGATCTAGTGGCAAATCACTCATTTAAATCTGCCATATGAGTTATCACTCTCTGACTATGAAAAGATGCTCTTCTACGATACAATACCTATCAAAGGTATGATTTCCAAAATCTATGGCCAGTTGTATAACTGCAACCCAGTTAGTCTGCTCAACTATCAAGTGGCTTGGCATAAGGACCTTCAGCATGAGCTTTCAAATGAACAATGGTCACTCATATGGAAAACGCCGGTATATGTATCCAAAGCTATAAATATCCAATTACAAACTTTTAAATTGCTTTCTAGGTGGTATGTGACCCCAACCAGATTAGCACGTTACCCATAATACCTCCCCAAGTTGTTGGAAATGTGGTGTGGAAAAAGGCACCTTCTACCATATTTGGTGGCTATGTAGCCCGATTAAACAGTTCTGGTCCCAGGTAATTAAAGAGATTAGGCAAATAACCTCCTGCGACTTCCCAGAGACTCCGGAAGTTATTCTTCTAAACCTTTGGGAAGACTCAAATGTACCTAAAATACGGCAGAATCTAATTATGACTATGATCACTGCGGCAAAAACTGTCATAGCCATGAAGTGGAAAGATGCAGATCCCCCCACGGTGCAACAATGGTAACTAAAGATATGGGATTATTTTATTTCAGATAAAATTACTGATACTATTTCAGGAAGAAAAGCAGATTCAGCTCGTTCTACTAGTTTACTCAAAAAATGGTTACCTTTTATAAAATTTAAGTTTCAGACCTTTAACAATGTAAGCTCCCTGAAAGAGAAAAACAATTTTATGCCTTTAGTAGCTCTTCACTGAGTGCGTGAATGGTGTTTTATTAATTTTGAACTTGATAGCCTTGTCTTTGTCATGTTCTACATTGACCTGGCTCCTGTTGTGGTAATTGATCACTCTCTTTCTTTTTACGTGTTTTAACTTGTTCATCATTGTATAAGGTGTGTTATACCTGTTCGGATGTTATTGTACTTTTCATAGTAACAATAATCATCACAACAATAACAATTAATAGAACTCCAAACATTGAAAAAACAAAACCATTAACTAACATCAAACTTATAACAGTCCTTAAATCTTCAATTATAACTATAACACTTTGTAGGTATTTCGCGAAGTGATTAATACAATACAAAATCAAGATATTTGAACCACCCTTCTGCCACGAAGACTTGCTGGGTGACCTTGTACCAGTCACTGTCTCAACATAACGCACCTTAAGGTAAAGGTTCCCTTGCTCGAAAGCCAGTCGAATCCGACTCTAGGGTTGCGGTGCTCATCTCCGTTTCAAAGACGAAGAGCCAGCGCTGTCCGAAGACGTTTCCGTGGTCATGTGGCCGGCATGACTAAACACCAAGGCGCATGGAACGCTGTTACCTTCCCACCAAAGTGGTACCTATTTATCTACTTGCAATTTCTTGCTTTCGAACTGCTAGGTTGGCAGGAGCTGGAACTAGAGATGGGAGCTCACTCCATCATACGGCACCCGGGTCTCGAACTGCTGAACTACCAACCTTCCACAGCCTGCAGTTCAGCATCTTAATGTTATTAGAGTAAAATGGAGGAGGGGCAAACAGTGTTGTAAATTTGCTTTAGGTCTCCATTGAAGAGATGTAGATATCAAAATAAATAAATACTGCTTTTAAACATATTTTATCATCCTCTGCCTCCCTCCGGATTTGCTTCTGGATTTCCTTTGTGAAAGGTCTTTGAAAATTGTTTTAAGAATGTTTAACTGCTGGGGGTAATGGTTTTAACTACGGGTGTCTTATGGATAGGCTATTTACTGCAATTTTATACTGTTCTAACACATTTTTCACGTAAAATAATTATAAACCCAGCCTTTTCCCAACCACTGGGATTTGAGGCAAATGATAATGACTAACCATCCAGAATGCCACCAAGTGTGCAGGGTTAAAAATACAGAAATAAATAGTATCTTTTCTTTCTGAATGTTACCTCTCTCCTCCTCCTTGTTTCAGGCAAATCTGCAAAGAATTTGCTGATTTGATGGCTCAGGATCGCTCCCCACTTGGAAACAGCCGCCCATCGCTCATCTTGGATCCTGGAGTTCAGAGCTGCTTGACCCACTTCAGCTTAATAACTCATGGTTTTGGGGGGCCAGCCATCTGTGCAGCTCTGACGGCATTCCAGAACTACTTGGTAGAATCGCTCAAAGGGCTGGATAAAATGTTCATGAACAGCACAGGGAATAGCCACTCAGTTGGTGACTCCAAAACCTCAGAAAAGGAAGTGAAACATCGGAAATAACCTCCAGAATTTCTCAGCCAGCCCCTGTAAGAGAGTCCTTCTGTTCCCGGATCATTAAATAGGAGGCCTGGTCTTATCAATGTATGGAGGGAAAGAAGCCAATTAAAGAACCACCTTCCTTCCATGTTTTCTCAGATTGTGACAGAGGCCTTTCAGAAATCAAGTAAACAGAAAGTGAAGACTGATGAAAAACATCTAAGGGGACTTCATTTTGATGGATGCCAATCCAGACACATCAATAGGTTTCTGTTGACATTTTTGATTTGCAGTAGTGGATATGGGAAGCCAGCTCATATGTGCAATTACTTTTTTTAAAAAAAACCCACAATCATAAAACTATTGAGGTATTTCTCAAGGCCTGGCCAAACCACACCAAAGCAAACAGGTCCTGGTGGAATCAAGAGCTACTGAGAGTCAATGGATTTTGAGTTGTCTCATGGGATAGATCTGGAGGGATCATAGAGAGAGGAATACCCACTGAAGTCCACTTCCGTTGTGTCTTCTGGCCAAGGAAAAAGTAACTTTGCCAGCAGTGCTGCTCTTGTGGTTCTGGGACTTTGTTTACAGATTTTGACCAATTGACAGTCATTGTGTATTTTCTCTAGGCTTTATGAGAGGGACTGTTACCTAACTTTTGGTAGTTTCCTGCAAGGAAGAAAATCCCTGCAAAGCCTCCACTGTAGCCCAGTTTCATTTGGCTAGCCAGGACCCCAAGAGAAGTGATATTTTACAACTCACAGCCTCTCCTCCCAGGTTTTCAAAACATTACTAATAATATTAAATAATAAATAATAATAAATTAATAAATCTTTTAAACACAAGGAGCAGAACTTGAAGGAGGCCAAACCCGAACTGTTTTGAAATCTGTATATATTTATTTATGTGTAATTAAATCAAAAAAGTTTTAAAATGTCCAGTGCGCGTTATTTATATTCAATTAAGTTGGAAATTCTTACTTTTCCCCCAAAGATAAGTCGGTCCTTGGAATTTTCTGGAATGAAGTTTTGAATAGTATGAACAATAGCCTGTGATGCTAAGAACTAGAGACATTTAGCCCAGTTTGGGGTTTGTTTTTTCCTCTCTTTTGTACGTGCTGTTGTTTCACTTTAAAAGCTACAATAGATGTACAGTGCCATCACCACACAAATGTCAGTCATTACCTTAATAAAACCTCTTTCTAGTTGCAAACAACCCTCCCCCCATCCCTGTGTTTGTGATACTGAGAGTGGAATACTCCCACTTTTGTGAGGTTCAACACAGAAAAAAAATTACAACACACAGGAAAATGTGGGAGGCAGAGAAAAAAGTAGTCCTTTTTGAGGTTTCACTTGTATAGTGTTTACTTGAACAGGAATTGTGATGTCAGCTACATCCGTAACCTCAATCAGGGTGCCCATTGCTGTGTTTCTTGTGGTCTTCTTCCTTCAGTGCCAAGGCAAAGATGCAATCCCAGATTTTCTCCACATCACGGAAACAGCAGGTCCTCCCAAAGAGCCCAGGGTGGCTCACCTTTGTAGGGAATAATGTTGCCCGGTCCCTCATGGCCACTGGTGAGGGATGGGGGAGTAGGGTTGCCAGGTCCAGGTTGGGGGACTCCTAGAGTTTGGAGATGAAGCCTGGGGAAGACAGGAACCTCAGTGGAGTACAATGCCTGGGAGTCCACCCTCCAAAGCATCCATTTTCTCCATGAGGAACTGATCTCTGTAGTCTGGAGATGAGCTGTATTCCAGGGGATCCCCAGGTCCCACCTGGAGGCTGGCATCCCTAATAAGGAGCACCCATTCAGAGACAGCCGCTTCCATCATAGGAGGATACTTTGCCTGGAAACTCTCCCAACTTCTGTGATTGTCTCCAGAATGGCTGGTTCCTTCTTTTGGGGGACCCTGTGTACACTGCTCACCACCAGCCGCCTCCCCCAATCCTTTCCATCCTCCACCTGGCTGGGCGTCCTTCACCCTCTTGCCTGCCCATAGTTGCCTGTACCACCTGCACACCCTTTCCTTGACAGCACTGTCTAGTCTTGCTGCAATGGCTCTCAAGAGTTCCACCACTGTGCCCCACCTACGTAATGCTGGGCAGTTGGAAGCACAGGTAGCAAACCGGTGGGGAAAGGCATGCAGACAGGTGGCAGGAGATGTGTGTGTCAGGAACCCCGAACCACAACCCCTGGGCCCTGGCAACTGCCCCACTCCAGGGTATGCTGATGCCAGCCCTGGACCCCATTTCCCTCTGGCGGCCATTTGGTGGTCGGCCCCAAGCTACCTTCTCAAAATTCCAAAAAAAAAAAAGAAAGAAAAAGAAAAAACCCACAGGTTCAACAAGGATGGGGACTCCTGGCCAACATCCATTAGACATTGGGCTAACCTACATTGTACATTTGCAAGTCCATGATTGGATTGTTTCATGTGCCCTGTAGCTTTAAAACACAGTTGGGGGGTGGGGCACTGGATTTAGATGAGGGATCAGTGCTAAAGCAGGCGAGCTTAACTCCCTCCTCCGATTCCATGCCATCTCCCAGACAGAAATCACCCCCTCCTACTGCCATGTGTCCAGTAGGGAATTAAAAACCACCAGGAATCCTTAGTAGTACTTCGTGGAGACAATTTCTATTGGAGAAAAGATTAACCTTTCTTGCCTCATCCCACTCCAAAGTGGATGTCCCTGTAACAGCTTAATCCAACCACAGACACCCCTCCCACTACCAAAGCTCCCTCTAAACTGTGGAGTCTTGTGAGCAAAATTTCTATGTTGTGAGCTACTGGCATTAACTTTGTGAGCAGTGTTCCCTCTAAATTGAGTTAGTGTGAGTTAGCTCACAGTTTATTAGTCCCCGGCTCACACATTTTTGTCTTAGCTCAGGAAGGATGGCTCCAGAGCAAACTAATTTATGCAGTAGCCAAATCACTCACTCACAACTTTAATGCCAGTAGCTCACAAAGTAGAATTTTTGCTCACAAGACTCCACAGCTTAGAGGGACCATTGGTCCTGTGAGTAATTTGGCTACTGCATAAATTAGTTTGTTCTGGAGCCATCCTTCCTGTGCTAAGACAGAAATGTGTGAGCTGGAGGCTAAAAACTTGTGAGCTAGCTCACACTAATTCAGCTTAGGGGGAACACTGCCCACTATAGTGAAATGTGGCACTCAGAAATCTCTGAAACTGTTGTCTACAAGTATAAATGATTCCCCCCATCTCTTCCTCAGCCATTTTGCTGGTGCATGCGGGAAAAGCCAACAAGAAAACAAAGATGTTAAAGGCCTTCGATTGTGTTGGGAGAACAGGAGACACTACACTTGGAAGAGTGATCAAAATGCCTGAGGAACAGGGTTGCCAAAACCAGTTTGGGGGAACTACTGGAGATTGTGGGAGGCTAATGCCTGAGGAGGGAAGGGAGACCAGCAGGGATGTGAGGCCACTCTATGATTTCTCCTAGACTCTATTGTGTACCATACAGTCAACCCTCCCAAGATGCCATTTTTCTGTAGTCTGGAGATTAGTTTCATTCCAGGATAACTCTGGGTCCCGCCCTGAGGTTGGTACCCAGGCTTAGGAACAGCAGTAAGGAAGAGGCTCTCTTAAGGCAGCACAGAGGCCAGTTGTATTCTTCGCAGCCGGGGGATCAATCTGAGGCCCTTGCTGCACATCTGAAAATTCTGCGCTTGCAATGGCAAGTGGAATGTACAGTACTCATGACATGGAGAAGGGGGGGGGCACAGAAAAGGACTACTAACTCCCATAACTTTAATGAAAATGCCACATTTACTAGAGAAAGGCCCTCAAATGTCATAGACAAACGGATGACACTTTGGGATCAGGGGACCTTTTCTGTCCAGTCATCAGCCTATCCTTCCTCTCCCTGTTTCACCCCATAAACTCTTTGCAAGACACACCTGCAGGAACCTTTACTAACCCCCATCTCCTGGTCCAAATTTAGACCCCATCTGGGGGGAGAGTGGTGAGGCAGCACAGCCTAATCTCCTCCCAACCCTCCACAGTCCTGTTTCTTGGTCACATTCAGTATGGCACACAGACACGATGACCCCCCCACACACACACCTTCTCCTTTGCTGTATTTGGCACCTGTAGTCGAGGGCAGGTAAGCCCGCTTCACTAAAGTCAGTAGGGGAGACCTGTGTTCAAATCCCCCCACTCAGCCTCTCTCTCATCACCTCTTAGGACTGTTGTAAGGATAAAATCATGCTTCCTTGGCCTCCTTGAGGAAAGGAGGCATTAAAAAGGCACTAAAATTTACATAGCAACTTCTTTCCACCCTGATTCAATTTTTGGACTGATTCAGAATGCACTGGCCTGACAGCAACCTACTGTGCACTGAGACACCTAAACCACACCGTCACTTAATTTGGATGTTCCAAAGAAAAACTGGCTTCATCAGGAGGGGGACATTCCTTCTGATGCAACTCTGCAGTCACTTCCCTCTGCCAGAATCAAGGGTTTTGTGGGTTTTTTTTGCTGTTCTCCTTCCCTGTGTTCTAACCTCAGCTGTTCCTAAGGCTTCTCTCTTGCCAGAGCCAGCAAACAGCTATTCAGCAATTAGCTTGGCTTATTTACCTCATTCTCCCCTGGTGCAGTGGCACCTGTCTGCAAAACACACAGTCTGCCTTCCTGTGCCTGACTGCAAGATCACCGGGGAGGGCGGAATCTCAACCTTGCTCTGCACAGACCAAAGCAGACCAAACTGCAAAGCGGAATGAGACGGGCTGGGCTTTTAGCAGCCACACAGGAAGAGTGGTGGCTTTTGCCATGTAACCTTTGACCATTCACAGTGCTCAACATCCCGGAGCTTCAGAAATTGTTTCCTCAACACAAGGAACTATGGGAAATGTAGTTCTGTGACACGGGATTTTTAAGGGAAACATTTCAGCACTTTGACCAAACTACAATTCCCAAAATGCTTTGGAGGAGGCCTTAGTTCTTAAAGCAGAGGAGCTAGAATTCATATGGAATATTATAAATTATTTCAACGGCTTGGGTGAGGATAGAGATGTTGGGTTGTTTTTGTTTTGTTTTTAAGCCATCTGCTTTTTTAAACAGCAACCTGACATGAACAAATGAGCCGATGTGGTACAGGTTTGGTTCTTGGACCAACAGGGAGAAACACTCAGAAGTCCTCACTCCAGGGCTATTTTTGGGCAGGAACGCACAGGAACGGAGTTCCGGCTGGCTTCAAAGTTGGCCACGCCCACTACAGCCAACCCCCCCTGCTACAGAGGGAAGGCCTGGAGAGCGACCCTCCTGGCGACTCCGAGGTGGGCGGGCCTGGAAGAATCGGGGAGGCATTTAAATGCCTTCCTC